GGCGGGGGGGAGCTGCCTGTGTCTTTTTCTGCCGGATGCAGGCTCTCCCCAGGCCCGTGGTCTCCCCATGCCAAGGCTGCTCCCTTGGGGGCCAGGGCTGCTCCTCTGGGCTGCACGGCACGGAACTGCAGCCACCCCGTGTGCCTCCCCAGACCACCAGCCATCTCTTTTCTTTAATTGATTGTAGAAAGCAATTTACAAAATACAAACTGCTGCCTATGCCAAGCTCTGCGTGTCCAGGCATAGCTTAATTTCACAGTAAAATCTCAAATGCAATGAATGGCTTTTTCCAGCACCAGTCCATGTCCAAGCCAAGAGCTTTGCTAGCTGCACGGGCTGTGCTGAGCAGCCCAGAAATGGTTTTTGCACTGCCCTGCAGAGCATGCAGCTCCCCAGGCCGGCTGTCACGACAGCGATGGCAGCCCTGCCAGCGCTCACGTGGCTGATGCTGCCCGGCTCAGCCATGCAGGACCCACCCTACCTGCAGCCCAGTCTGCAGGGAGCCATGGGCCCTGACCCTCCGTGCAGCCAGCTGGACGGGGACCCTGCTGCAGGCCCCCTGTGCGACGCTGCCTCTCCGCATGGATCTCAGGGAGGTGTCCCAGCAGGGCTGGCTGATGCTGCGGTGCGGGGGCTCAGCTGAGAGCTGGTGCTCCCGCTCTGGCTCCTTTCAAGTCACAGCTATAATTTCATGGTCTGGGTCTAGGAGGTTTGTACACACAGATGCATTAGTTCTGCATTTAGTGATGCTTGAATAATTGGTGTCACATCAATTAGATTGGTTCTTGGATACTGTAGTGATAAGTGCTGTGCAAAAGCCTCTGGGCTGCGGGATACGAGGAATCCCAATGGCTAGCGAGGCTGGTGGAGCTGGTGACAGTGGGCAGAGCAGGGTTGCGGGGGATGTCGTGTGCTGAGACAGCAGCAGAGGTGCGCAGCACATTTCTCCTTTGCAGGAGAGCGGCGAGGCCAGAGGCTCTCGAGGTGGTCAGTGCCTGGGGCAACGCTGCCCTGGCTGCGCAGCATGGGGGTGCAGGTGTGCACTCAGGGGGCTGCTGCCAGCATTGCAAACCTCTGAGCTCCTCAGTGCCCCAGCTGTCCCATCACGGTGCTCCTCCGTGTCAAGCCACTTGCTGAGTACCTAGTCCAGCATCATCTGCGGTTTCCCTCATCCCTTTGGGCTTTGGGTTGCTCTTGCAGCCCATGGCGTGGATTTGCATGCACGGTGGATTTGCCAGCACAGTGCTGCCCACCCTGCCAGGTAACGGGGACGAGGCTCAGGTGGGTCTGGACCAGCGTGGAGAACCACGGGGCTCACGTGCCTGCAATATAGATCAGTGCTGTCAGTCCTATCTGTACTGTGGATTGTAGGCAGAGGTAATTTGCAGATGACAAATATCCCTGACAGTAAATATTTTTCCCACCCTCATCTTTCCACAAGGAGATAAGGTGGCAGAACTGTGGCAATACGCTTGCTGGAGGGAGACAAACTCTTTGGCAGTCTTAAAAGTCTATTGTGTCCCCACAATTATTTATAGATAAACAGAAGAAAGCCAATAAGCACAGAATGGAGCTGCACAGCTGCATTTGTTATAATAATGATAATGTCTCTCCCTCACACCCACACACACACATCTCCAGTGCATGGAAACTTGCTGCTGGCAACAATCAAATCCTCATCCCATGAAGGCAGGACAGGCTGAGGGTTTTGCTCTCTCCTTGCTGACCTGCTGCCAGTGTTTTCCCCCACAGTGACCCGACCACACAACTCCAGCAGCTTCTCACCCTTCACCTAGCCGGGGAGCCGCAGTGCTGCAAGGTCCTGGGGCGCCCATGCAGCAGCATGGTCACTCCTTGGGGCACCCCAGGGCAGCTGCGTCTCTGTTCCTGGCAGCAGCAAGACACGGAGACCGAGCAGCCTTCATCCTGGTAAACCAGCGCCAAGGGTGCTGGGTGCCTCGCAGTGAGGGGGGTCCTGGTGTTGCTTGCGGGGAGTGTGAGACTGGCTGGGTCCTCACCAGCTCATGCCACAGGAGCCCAGGGTGTGGGTGCTCCCCACCTCCGGGACACGCATCGGGGTGAGCCGGTTGGCTTTCTCGGCTCCACACAGTTGAGACCTTCTCTCCCATCCCACACCGGTGCCAAGGACAGAAACGGGTGTGTTTGGAGGAAGCCATCTGAGGGATCCGGGATTAAACAATGTGGCAGGGAAGAGCAATGGAGATCGCTGTTAATGAGCACATTTCTCCAGCCTGTGGAGCAGAGACACTGGGGAGTGAGAAACGCTGACTCCGATGTGGGAAGGGGTTGGGAAGCACCGTGCTTTCCCTGTTCACGTGGCCTTTGGAGGGGTCTTTGAGTGCCACAGGAGCCCGCAGCAAGGAGCCAGGGGCCTGGCAAGGCTGGACCCACTGAAGGGGAGGGCAGGAAAGTTGCAGGCACAAGTCCCCGGGTGCCTCTGCGTCAGGCACCAGGGTCCCCGGGTGAGCTGTCATTCATCTGGCATCGGGGCCCTTGACCAGCCCAAGTCTCCCCACGTCCCGGGGTGCTGCACGGCATCGCCTGGCTCCCACCGGGACAGGAGCCCTGCAGCTCCCTGGGACCAGGCGTGTGGGACTGGTGCGCATCCCTGCCCAGCACTCAGCCTTGTCTCTGCAGCACCTCCGCCCCGCGAAGGCACCAGGACGAGCCCTTCTCCTGCAGACAGCGTCCGAGACAGCAACTGGGAGCCCTTCACCGGACTGGAGAGTGGGATGATTTTTCATTGCTTCCCCGTAATAAGAAGACAGAAGTAAGTGACTAGTACAGTTCGTTCACTCGGTAAAGATTTATACAATCACTTCATCCGGTAATTGGTATTCTGGGGAGACAGGGAGCTGCAGCTCCAGCATCCGCCTCTATTTGTTTTTTTCTCTCCCCTTTTCAGAATGAGTAATTCTGTCCCTCACAATCCCATTTAAACAGGGCGTTTGCGGAGTGAATAATTAGTTACATTCAATTAGGTCTCACGCGCTCTCCCTTCTCACTTTGGGGGGCGGACGCGCTAATGAGATGGCACATGTCTGACACGCAGGAGCGGCATCGGGCACGCTGCGTGCTGGCAGGGAGGGGTCAGCGCGGGGAGGCAGGGGGACCCCCGCTGCCGTGGGGTGACAGCTGTCTGGGGCCATTTGGGGCCAAAGGCCCCGCGTCTGTGCCAGCACGACGCCAGCCCTCTCCGCCAGCGGGGCCAGCAGCGGTGGGGGTCTCGCCTGTCCCCAGGGCAGGGTGCTGGGCTGGGGCTGGCGCTGAGGGGGTGCTGCCCAGCCCCGGGACCACCCCGCTGGCGCTGCCGGGAGTGCGGAGCCCTGAGGGGGAGAGCGGCTGACACGCTTTTCTCTTC